ATGGAGCGGGAGGGGTTGTGTCGCCCAGATTTGCGTACCCCGGTGTGCATTTCCCCCCCGACGTACGTTCTTCTCCCACAATGACCTCCCACAAAAACAAAATTTTATTTTAAATGTAGAAATTCCGCCTTTTCACTAGATTCCACATTAATTTGCCAATTCCGCGATTCTGTGATCGCGGAAATTATAGGGCCCTACGTTAAGGCTGGTTTATACTCAGACACCAGGTCGTCTGCAAGTGTGTCACAGTAAACGCACGTGCCCCCGCCCCTTCCCCAGGCACTCTGCTACACCTCTCAGAAATTGTAGGTGACCACAGACGTTGCTGCTGTCAGGACACATCTGATTGGTCAAATCTACATCCGCTCTATGCGTATTTCTTGTTTGGTACCTTACCGGCTTGTTTTGTTTGTATGACCGCCATTGTGGAAAACGACTCGTGAAGATGGACCCGCTAGAAGAGCGAGGTGCGCGAGAACACTGGGACCCTTTTTCCACCTGGATCCCCGCTCTTTTTCGCCCTCATGTCCCTCGGTTGTTGGACGCACTTACCCCTTGCTTTTTTCTTTTTTTCCAGCTCCTCACTGCCTCTGCAATATTAATATATTATTATATTGGGCATAAATCAAAAATATCTGCGTCATACCTGCGACAAGCTCACTGCGACATACTGCTGAGGGAGGATAACCGGGCCTTTACATGCCCCTGATTCTCAAAAGTAATTTGGTCTGAATGTAACATGAGGAAGAGACAGTTTATTACACAATACAATTAATAAAAAATTTCAAAAAATTATGAACATATCTGTGGAGATTCTCAGTAATCCAGATCATGGTCAACCTTGACAAGTTATATTTAGGCAACTAGATGTGAAGTCCTGTTAAGATTGACAAGCTTAAAAATGTCCAAAGAAAAACATATTTTATCATCTGCTAATGCAATTATAAACCAGATATATGAAAATATTTTCTAGCCCCCTTTCAGCCACTATTAACATCTAGAAGGTAGCAGGTAATTAAAATGACAGCCGTCAATCTGAGGTTAACGAGCAAACAGCACTCCAATCACCTACCTAGCATGTAGCATGTGGGCGGGGCTATGCTGATTTAAAACGCCCAAAGTACTTTTAAAGTTGGCTCATTGCTGATTGACTGATGAGGCAGGTAATGTCGGTGACTTTTCCCAGGTATGCAAGTCTCTAACTAAAGATAAGTAAACATATTTCTATGTTTTCTCCAAACAGAAATGAACGGTGAGAAGGAGACTGATTCCTACTGTGATGAGTTTAGTAGATCAGCACCAGTAGCCTTAAGTTAATGGGCTGATCTTAAGTAGCCTCTGCAGGTATCTTTCCCAGACATTGTTTGTCCTCCTGCTTTGTGGAGCTAATGCCTCCACATACACACATCTACATCTCTGGAAATTCATCTCACTAATGCATAGGTGTTGGATCTAAATCTCTTCAGACTCAACCAACAGAAAGCTGCTATTTTCATGACGGTAGAGGAAAATCTGTGGAGCTACATTGGAGTCGTGAAGTTTATTTCGCTCTAAAAAAACAAATGTTGAAAATTCTAAAAATGAACAGATTCAAAAATAAAAACAGGAAAAATAAACAGAAAAGATTTAAGATCGAAATGAGATTTGAAATTCTCAGCAGTCAATCTTTAGCAGTATACCCTGGAAAGGTGATCTGAAAAACAAAATTCAACTGAATAGTAGTTTAAAACATTTTTTTAAAGGTTCAGAATCTGCCGCTCTTCTGTTCAGATAGATGCTAAAGCTTTGAAATAAGTGGAGGTCCAAACCTTGCCAGACAGCAGTACAAAATTGGCTGGTCTTTAATGATGTGACTGTGGTGTCAGAGCTGCAGTGCATGCTGGGAGATGTAGTTCCAGCCTGTTAAGGATGAATAAAGTGAGGTGTCCTTTCTTTAATCTACAATATAATGTCTTTCTGCTGTGTTTGTTTTTACAGACCAGCTTCAGGATTCTGTTGGAAAAGAGGTTTTCTCTGACCAGCAGCTCTGTGGACAGGAGAAGAATTCCAGTTTGGACCATGAGGAACCAGAAGCTCTGCAGATGAAAGAATACCAGCAAGAACCAGAACATCCCTCGACAGAAGAGGAAACCATGGAGCAGGAAGAACAGCTTGTTCGGAAGCATAAGACTAAGGATACAGGAGAGAAACCTTTGTCACGTTTGACACGGGAAGAAAACAGTCTAAAAAAGGGATATTTTATGGTTCACACTCACTCAGGTCAGGAGATTTATAAATGTCTTTCCTGTGGAAAAATATTCATAAAGAAATCTAGTTTAAATGAACACATGATAACACACACAGGTGAGAAACCATTTTCCTGTACCATTTGTAATGAGACTTTTACTCAAAAGGATAATTTGACTGAACACATGAGATTTCACACAGGTGAGAAGCCTTTAAAATGTCTTTCCTGTGGAAAACGCTTCGCTCAGAAATCTAATCTTGATTCGCACATCAAAACTCACACAGATGAGAAACCTTTTTCCTGTACCATTTGTAACAAGGGTTTTACTGAAAAAACCAATTTGACATCCCACATGAGAATTCACACAGGTGTGAAACCTTTTTCCTGTACTACTTGTAAAAGGAATTTTACTCACAAGAGTCAATTGATTTCTCACATGAGAATTCATACAACTGAGAAGCCTTTTTCCTGTACCATTTGTAACATGAATTTTACTCAGAGTAGTTTGACTACTCACATGAGAATTCACACAGGTGAGAAGCCTTTTGAATGTCTGTCCTGTGGGAAAAGCTTCAATCGGAAATCTTATCTTGATATACATATCAGAATTCATACGGGTGAAAAGCCTTTTTCCTGTTCCATTTGTAACAAGAATTTTACTGAACATGGCCATTTGACTAAACACATGAGAATTCACACGGGTGAGAAGCCTTTTTCCTGTTCCATTTGTGACAGGAATTTTACTGACAAGAGTCATGTGACTACTCACATGAGAATTCACACAGGTGAGAAGCCTTTTGAATGTCCCTCTTGTGGAAAAGGCTTCACTCAGAAAGCTCATCTTGACATACACATCAGAAGTCACAAAAATTGGAAGCCTTTTCCCTGTGCAATTTGTAATGACAATTTTACTAACAAGAGTAATTTGACTAGACACATGAGAATCCATACAGATGAGAAACCTTTCTCCTGTAGCATTTGTAACTACAATTTTGGTCAAAAGAGTCATTTGACTAGACACATGAGAATTCATACAGGTGAGAAACCTTTCTCCTGTTCCGTTTGTAACCAGGATTTTGCTCAAAAGGGTTGTCTGACTAAACACATGAGGCTTCACACAGGTGAGAAACCTTTTGAATGTCTGTCCTGTGGAAAAACCTTCACTCAGAAATCTAATCGTGATAGACACATCAGAATTCACAGAGATAAGGTTGTTCCAGAATAGTCATTTACCACATTAGCAATGTATAGAGTGTATTTCTTTAAAGTTAAGACTAGTTTAAAGTTATCTTCATTGAAAAGTAAAATGCTTTCCTTCAAAAATGACATTTCAATGTGACCCCAAACTTTTAAACTGTTGTGTAAGTCACAGCAGTTAGATGCCACAGGAATGAACGGTAAAGACGTTTTCCATGTTGACTGGTGATAAAATGTCCATATAGAAACTCCTTTACCTCATTACATGAAAAAACACAGGTTAATGGTGTTTTTGGAGCAAAGATTTGATATTCAGGTCTTTGGCAAATATGTGGATGTGAAAATTCTAAAGTTAATTATTTTGTGCCTGAGTAAATTAGATTTAAATAGATTTAAATTGGTTATAGATGAAGCAAGTTTGTTGTAACCTGACTCCGGCAGATGGATTTGCTCCG